TTCATTCTTGGCCCTGTAACTACTCAACACAATTCATCTTTCCGGGTCTCCCAAAGTGTCCCCAGGAGATCGAAAGCCATGTCATTTGTCATAAGGGATTGTAGTTGACATATCCATCATCTACAAGGTATTTCTAACCACTTCTTGCTCATTTGGCTAAAATTACATGCAGTATCAAATGATTTTTGTCAGTTATGGGGCTTGAGCTCTGGGCCTGGGCGCTGTCCCTCAGCTCTTCAGCTCAAGGCTAGCACTCTACCACTTGAGCCACAGCACCATTTCTGGTTTTCTGGTGGTTAAGTAGAGATCAGAGTCTCATGAACTTTCCTGCCCAGGCTGACTTTGAATTGCAATCCTCAGTTCTCAGCTCCTGAGTAGCTAGGATTATAGGTATGAGCCACCAGTGCCTGACTTCAAAAGATATTTCTAAGCACTACTTAGACTTGGATTCAAGTCCAGCAGTTTTGTTTTTTTTTTTTTTTTTTATCATTGCAACCATCAGAGTCCCTCTAGACCTTGGCCTTAGGTACACCTCTCCTATCCCTATATAACCTATGCATGAGAAGCCTGTAACCTATTACCTTATACAAGCTGAATAAGTTAAATGTGAAATAAAACTGTTCCCTATCTATCCTTTAGTCATATATTCACTATAAAAGTCTACAAATCTTGTTTACAGTTTTCTTGAAAATAGTTGAGTACTTCAAGATATATATCTATATCATAGGCTTAAAAAGGGTCTTATTTTTCCAAGCTTTGAAAGGTATTCATGATGAATGTCCAAATCTGATTTTATAAATCAAGCTATGTTAGGAGAGCAGTAACAGGGCTTGAAGAAACTCCTTTTGGTCAAATCAAACAATGACAGCTCCCAGAACATGAACAAAAAGAACTTGAGGGCAATGGGACACAGATAAATACAATCCATTTAGAAAGCTTTATGAACTTAAAACCAGGAAACAGGAAAACAGCAACACGGGAAAAAAGTAAGCTTTTACCTTCTATGAAACAGCCCCTCAAAAGGCATTTTTCATTATCTTTTTGGACTTCTAAATACAAATAAGGGCCCAGTGTGTGGCCTAAAAAAGGATTCTAAGGATAAGAAATATCAAGGAAGCTTGGACTAGCCTTCCTAAAAAGGAAGATTACTGCAGCCTGGCTCTGATCAAGGTTGGCTGTCTCTCAAAGAACTCAGTATGTTGTGTTCTGAGAGCCAAGGGGGAAGTACAGTGACATTCCTAAGCTCCAAGCTCAAGTTGGAAAGTTTCATTTGCTTTTATTCATAGAGATTTAACTTGCCTGGGTTTGATGAACACCTTGGATTACCTTGTTTTGAAAAACAGTAGGAGGTGGAGCTATGGTTCAAATGGTAGAGCACTCATCAACGTTGAGTAAAAGAAGGCAAGTGAGTGTAGGTTTAAGGCCTAATACTGGCACAAAAGAAAGAAAGCACTTTCTACCAATAAACATATTAAATACTTCCATTATATTTGATGCTTTCCAAAAACAATCTTTAAGGTGGAAAATTAGAGTACAGAGAGATGAAGACTGTCTATGTATGCCTGTCTGAGATCACCTTATATTTCAGTATCTAAGGTTTGGTTGCAAAAACTCTATAGACAAAGAATGTTCTTATAAATACCAAATCTCTCTAGCTATGTAATGTATATCACTGACTTAAAGGTGTTCATATTTCAAAACTTTAGGAGATATTCCTGCTCAGGTCTAAGAAACTACTCATTAATGTGTGAGCAAATGGTCAGGGAATCCCAGCTTCTTAGGAGGCTGAGATCTGAAGACTGCAGTTCAAAGCCAGCTGGAGCAGGAAAATCCATGAGACTATATTTCCACTTAACTGACAAAAAGCTGGAAATAGAGGTGTGGTTCCAGTGGTAGAGCACCAGCCTTGAGTGAAAAAACTAAGTGAAAAGTGTGCCCAAGCCCCAGTACCCTCGCCAAAAACAAACCTTAGATAATGCTAGAGTTACAATATGGTAGCATCAAAAAGTGGTACCTATAGTTAAATATTGCTCAGTTTAAAAATGAATATTATTTTGTACTAATAAATTCTAGTTTACTTCTCAAAATTGTCTACCAGTGCTATTATAAAAATAAAATGCAGTCAGGTGCCAGTAGCTCACGCCTGTAATCCTAGTTACTTGGGAGGCTGAGATCTGAGGATCATGGTTCCTGCCCAGCTGGGGCAGGAAAGTCTGAGAGACTTCTATCTCCAATTAAATCTCAGAAAAAGCCATAAATGACGTTATGGCTCAAGTGACAGAGTGTTAGCTTTAAATAAAAGAAGTTCAATGACAGCACCCAGGCCCAGAGTTCAAGCCTCAGGACCAGCAAAAAAAAAAAAAAAAAAAGTAATTTTTTAGCATTTTATTTATCATTTCTTATATTTGAGAGTATACAGTATTTAATCCTTTGAAATTTATTAGCAGTCCTACAAAATATTCTCAATATGGAAGACAATCCAACTAAAGAAAATACCGCTCTGGGATTCTTGATTATATTTAGTATTAATTGTGTGGTCATAGTTTAGTAGATATAAAAATCTTACATTTAAAAGTCTAATATAGGCTGGGAAGGTGGCTCAGTGGTAGAGTGCTTGCCTTGCATGCATGAGGCCCTGGGTTTGATTCCTCAGCACCACATACGCAAAAAGGAAAAAGCCGGAAGTGGCACTGTGGCTCAAGTGTTAGAGTGCTAGCCTTAAGCTGAAGAGCTGAGGGACAGCACCCAGGCCCAGAGTTCAGGCCCCACAACCGGACCCCCCTCCCCCCAAAAAAGGGATAAAAGTCTAATATAAAGCAATACTAAAATGGGGAGTGTGGTTTCCAAATTACTCTCTGTCCTCATTACTTTACTATGTTGACATAACTGCACACATTTATGCACTAAAATCTACAAGCAGTGAGTTCGCTCTTATCTCCAAGATTAACTTGACAAAATCGGAACCAATTAATCAGAGATACTAAAAGACTAAAAGTTCTGTTTTGTCAGTGATACATGTTCCATTAGAGCTTGTTTTAACTGGAGCGCTGTGCATGTTTCAGGGTACAACATTGGCCCATTGATCAACTTTGGGCCAGCAATGCTCATACTGCTGACAGTTCTGCTCTTGGAAGAGGGCCTTGCTTTCTGTTGCATGCACACACTGACCCTGTACTTTCTTTCCTTTCCTTTGTTTCCTGTGCCATGCTTGCTGTGTAGCAAATGGAATCTCTTGCAGTAAGTTAACTTTCTTTCATACTCTTTCTCCATTTAGGCATGGACCCATAACAGGCTTTATTTTATTTACTGTTAACTACCATTTAGCATGTTTTCCCTTTTTTATTTAATTTTATTTTCTTCAGTAGATTGAGACACAGCAGCTTATGATCAATAGCATTTGGGGATGCTTTTGCACCAAAGTTCAAACCTACGTTGCTATGAATTCTCACACTACCAATGGGATATTTTAAATTGTAACTACTATTATTTGGAGGAAAGCCAGAGTGTTCATAACTAGGTTTCAGCCTAAATTGGAAAGGTAACATTGTTTGTAAACAATACTTGGGCATTTTTTTTTGCAAGCACCTCGCAGCTATCTTCTGTGGCAGACTTCAAAAGGTTTCCATACAGAAAAGTTTAAATGACCATAAAACAGTGTTTTACTAATAGATCCCATTTGAGTTAGTCAGTATTTCTATTTCTTTGAACTTAAGCTAATTAAATCCATCTAATTGGAAAAGATTTTCCCCTAGGAGCAAGGAAGAGAGAACAAGAGAAAGGTTAGAAAGGAATTTATTAAACATAGTCTTTGTATGATTTTTTTTTTACATTTAAAAATCAGGGTCAAAATTTTATTCATAGTGTCAATGGCATATACTACCTAAAACCTAAATTCTTTTCCATCAACTTATTTGAGAAAAACATTTAAAAAGTACTTCAAGACTCTCAAATCTGAGTTGAGTTCATTTGCAACGGTCTGTTAGTGAAAGGAAGGCACTATTTACCCTTCATTCATCCCACTGAAAAACTGACTAGTGAAGCATTTTTTAAAACCATGTATTTAATCTACTTTCACTGGGTAACTGCTAAGCTGTGCAATCCTACCAGGTGAAGTCACAGAATCCCACCACTATCGAGCTAACCCATTACTGAAATAAAGTAGGCAAAGATAATACAGTTCAGAGTGCAATGATCATTGATGATGGATTACAACTTGTGAATGCTTTTGCATCAGACTTTATAGAGGCCATGGAAAGAAACATTAACATTTCCAGAGAAACCTATTAAAATAAGGGCTATTTTGTACAGTTGCTTTTTCTTATTCTTTGTGCAGAAAGTTCTAGAGGTTTTTGAGGGTTTTTTAATTTTTCTTATAGAAGTTTTGCGGTTTTTTTTTTTCCTTAAACAGTTTTGGCCCCATTTCTATCTCTTTAATTCAGTAAATGCTTCCTAAGCACTGAGTAGGAGGCTCATCACTCAAACTGACAGTGCTCCAAGACCATGTGGCTTGTCTTGAGTCTCATCCTGGAAGGCAACAACTGTTCTGCTACACAGTTATCTCCCAGACATCTTCTCAATTTACAAATCTAACCCCTAGAATTACTTCACATTTTGCCTTTCAACTATGCTTATAATGAAAACAAATTCTTTGTTTTTAAGGCAATTGTTGTGTACAAAAGTGTACACAGCCACTCAGTTACAATTTATCTGTCGTGAATTGGCAAATACAAATAGAAATGTGGTGGCTTGCTTGGTCCTTTTTATAGCTTCCACTCTCTAATTAGCCATCTTCCACTATTTAGAATATAACATTCTGTATTACCCTGTGAATTCCTCATTGATACTTATTGACTGGATTTTTTGTTTCATTTGAGAATGGTAACAGCTAGTTATATTTCCTTAATTTAAAAAAAATGTGTGTTGTGTGTCCACTGAGATTCACTAGATATATCAGAATGATCCTTAATAACAATTTCTTCCCCTGCACATTCTCTCTTTAGCAACTGGAACTGTGTCAGAGGTTATATAAGCTACACTTCCAGCTGCTGTTGCTTTTTCAGTCCTACTGTAAGCTCATCGGCCAGGTGCATGAAGTGAGCTCCATGCCGGAGGTGAGTCCCTCTGCCTGCCCACCCCGCATCCCGCCACAAACACCATCAGTGTATGCTTTGTTCTGTGTCCTCCATTCCTTTTACAACTGCCCAAGTGATTTGATAATTATTTTGCTCAAGTACAGGTCGGAAATAAATGGCTCAGATTTATTTCTGTTTCTCCTTTTTCAAAGATTTTTCCAGAGCAGACTACTAAATTGAAAAACATGAGATAGCCCTCCATGTCATACTCTAGGTGCCTTACTTGAGTCACGCTGCTCCCAGCCCTGGGTCTGGACATCCTTTGAGAAATGTGCTATTCCTTCTTTACACTTGTCCTTACCTTTAAGAAGGAAATGATCGTGTGCTGCCTGGCTGTCTTCAGTTTCTCTGATGCTTTGATATTATTAGGTGTAAAGTGCAAAATAATGTGACTATACTATTTCCAAGTGGGCCAAAGTTTTCCTAGGAGTGAAAGAAAGTAATTAGTGATGTGCACGAGGCACACACATCTAAAGTTGACAGAGGCCAAAGAGATAGCAATCTTAAAACAAGAAGTAGAATGATAGAATTGAAGTTCAGTAAGAACAAAAGCATTTAGGTAAACGTGGTGAGAAAGAGAAAGCAACTGCAAGCAAGTTGTATTGCTAGACTATTAGATACCAATGGAAAGGGGGTGATGATAGAAAACAAAAAAATCAGAGGTAAGGAGAAGATGCTACATTGCATTTTTTGCAAGACTTTTACAATGTAGAAGATGGATTTGTTGACAAGTAGACTGGAGATGTGGAGGCAAGATGTGAACCTGCTGAAGTCAACTAGCACAGAAGTGTTCAGTGGATATGGAGAACAGAAATAGGACAAAAATTAAAGAAACTCTGGGAGGCCAGGGGCGGGCAAAGTTAAAACCCTATCTCAGATGAGTCAGATGTGACCAGTGGTTTGACAGCTGACACGTGTTTATGAAGGACTGTGAGGCAACTGTACATTCAGGAAGTCAAACCTTCTCCCTCAACATAGTAGACCTATATACTGGGTTTAATGACAACTTACAAGTGGTTAGATATGGGAATGTGGCTTAGCAGTAGAGTGCTTGCCTAGCATGCATGAAGCCCTGGGTTCGATTCCTCAGCACCACATAAACAGAAAAGGCTGGAAGTGGCTCTGTGGCTCAAGTGGTAGGGTACTAGCCTTGAGCAAAAGAAACTTAGGACAGTGCCTAGGCCCTGAGTTCAAGCCCCAGGATTGGCCAGGGGGTTGGGAGGTCTAAATGAAAGTTACTGATGCAGTCACTATACTAGATAGGAGTAGATGGCCTCACCCACTAAAAGAAGCTGGAGCCTGGGAAACCATACTGTCTCGCCAGGGGACAAAGGAGAAAGAACCACAAAAGAGACTGAGAATGATAGCCATTTTACCATCTATCACTCAGTTTGACAAAAATGGAAAGACAATATAACTTTCAGTCAGGTACACTTTCAAAAGCCAGCACAAAGAAGGTAATCAATGTCAAATCTTGGGTTATGAATTAATCACAAACCAGTCTTTCTCTACCAAATTATATAAAAGATCCAATAAAAGATAAAGATTACTCTTAACACGTCTAAAAAAAGTATTAAGATCCTTAGAGTGTGTCTTTTCTCAAGAAATAGAACATGCAAACTAAACTCACACTCCCATCTTTCATATTAAAAAAAGCAATTAGAGATGAGCGCCAGTGGCTCAGGCCTGTCATCCTAGCTACTCAGGAGGCTGAGATCTAAGGATCACGGTTCAAATCTAGCCCTGGCAGGAAAGTCCATGAGACTCTTATCTCTAATTAACCACCAGAAAACCAAAAGTGGTGCTGTGGCTTACTTGGTAGAGCACTTGCCTTGACTGAAGAGCTCAGAGATAGTGTCCTGGCCAAGAATTCAAGCCCCATGACTGACCAAATAAAAAAGGGGAAAAAAAGGCAATTGGAGCTGGGCATCTGTGATTTATAAATGTCTGTAATCCTAGTTACTTAGGAGTCTGAGATCTGAGGATCAAGGTTTAAAACCAGTTCAGGCAGGAAAGTCTCTGAAACTCATATTTCCAATTAAGTCCAAAAAGCCAGAAATGGAGCTGTGGTTCAAGTGATAGAGTACTAACCTCGAGCAAAGAAAGCTAAGGGATAGGGTCCTCTTTAGGGCCCCTTTCCAAATGGAAGAGGGGCCTCCTTTTTTTTGCCAGTCCTGGGGCTTGAACTCAGGGCCTGGGCACTGTTCCTGGGCTTCTTTTGCTAAAGGCTTGCACTCTACCACTTGAGCCATAGTGCCATTTCCAGCTTTTTCTGTTTATGTGGTACTGAGGAATCAAAGCCAGGGCTTAGTGCACGCTAGTCAAGCACTCTACCATTAAGCCACATTACTAGCCCTCCTATGTTTCACAGCTTTCCCTTCCACTTTCAAATACACTTGCCCTATTAAAAAAAAAAAAAGGTATGGGATAGTGCCCAAGTTCTGAGTTCAATTCCCACTACTAGCCAAGGAAAAAAAAAGCAATTGCAGCAAGATGGCCAACTAGAGGGGTCTGATGCTTTCAAAGGACCAACAAACAAATAACTATATTACAAAGGAGAGCTGAGGCCAGCTTAGAGCAAGGGAATAGTGGAAACCCTGAGGAACACAGAACTTCCGTGCCCATCCAGAACTTCTGCTGCCCATCCAGCCAGTGAGATCGATTCAGGACCCAGATGGATTTTCCTGTAGGGAATAAGTAAGCAAGAGGTTCTCAGCAGGCTTCTTACTGGTACAGATACCCAGTATCAGTTACTGGAGAAGCCTTCCCACCCTCACAGGCCTGGGAGCAACCGTGCTCCAGAGACAGCTCACGTCCTCTTCCTCAACCTCTCAGCTCCAGCCCCATGACCCAAGCTACTACTAGTCTGCACCATTTTGAAACCAGTTGCTGCTAGAGGATTCCCTGCCTTGGAAGACACTAATCACAGGATTTCTCCATCTCTGAGACTCTGCCCAGTTAACAAAAGCTAGGTGTGGTAGCTCACGCCTGTAATCCTAGCTACTCAGGAGGCTCAGATCTGAGGATTGAGGTTCAAAGCCAGCCTGACAGGAAAAGTCCATGAGACTCTTATCTCCAATAAACCACTCAAAAAACCAGATGTGGCATTGTGGCTCAAGTGGTAAAGTGCTAGCTTTGATCTGAAGAGCTGAGGGACAGCACCCAGGCCCAGAGTTCAAAAAAAAAAAAAAAGAAAAAGAAAAGAAATAATCACCATTATAATCAGCCATGCAAGAAATTCTTCAGCTGGGATTGTAGCTCAAGTGTATAGCAACTGCCTAACCTGAGTTCAGACCCCATTATTGCCCCTGAAAAAGAAATTTAATGAGAAATGCTTTTCCCAGAAGTAAAAGACAATCACCACCACCATGAAAACATGAAAGTAACTACAGTAATGTTGGACATCAATGGCTTATGTCTATAACCTTAGCTACTCACAGGGCTGAGACCTGAGGATCATGGTTCAAACTCAGCCCAGGCAGGAAAAGTCTCTGAAACACTAATCTCCAATTAACCTCCAAGAAGAGCTAGAAGTAGAGTTGTGGCTCAAATTGTAGAGGGCCAGTCTTGAGCAAAGAGATAATAGCATCCAGGCCCTAAATTCAAGTCCCAGCATGCATGCACACACACACACAAATAACTACAATAAGTTATGCTGTTAAGCCACATTCAGTACAAAAAGATAAACATCATGACAACAAAAATTGAGAGTTTAAAGTCATTAGTTGGTGGTCTTTTTGTGGAAGAAGCATTAACGTGCTAGCCTTGCACATGCTAAGATGAGTGTTCTACAATTCCAGCCCTTAGACCCAGTCTCAACCAATAAAGTCTGGGTGACATGTGTCTAGCACAGTTTTCAAGAGCATAAATAAGCTGATCATGGTTCAATCCAGAACCAAAGTTAAGGTATAAGCTTAAAATAGTCTACTATACTTCATATAACAATAATGGTAACTACAAAGCAAAACAAAACAAAAAAAGATATGGTAATCAGTTTAGCACACTGACAATTATTAAACCACAAAGGCAGACAACAATAGACAAAGAAAAAAATCAAAGACTCTACAAAACTACTCATAATTAGCTAGTAAGGAAGCCAAGATCTAGAGGATCAGAGTGAGGGACCAACTCCAGGCAGAGAAAAAAATAACAGGAAAAAGCTGGGCTGGAGATATAGCTCTGGTGGTACTGCACCAGCTGAGCAAGCAAGTGCAAGGACCTGAGTTCAAACTCCAGTACCACCGAAACAAACAATGAACAACTTTAAAAAAAATCATCTACCATTCTACCTTACACAGTTAACTTTGGATTTAGTTCCAAAAGAAAAGCAAATAAGCCCAGCGCCAGTGGCTCATGCCTGTAATCCTAGCTACTCAAGAGGCTGAGATCTGGGGATCATGGCTCAAAGCTAGCCCAAGCAGGAAAGTCCGTGAGGCTTTTTTTAAAAAATAAGTTTTTTATTGTGAAGATACTGTACAGAGGGGTTACAATCACATGAGCAAGGTAATGAGTACATTTCAAGCATTGTTACCTCCTCCTTTGTTTTTCCCCTACCATCCCTTCCCTCCCACCTCCTCTTTTGTACGATTTTATTGTAAAAATACTGTACGTAGGGGTTACAGTTACATGAGCAAGGTAATTAGTACAATTCCTATCCAGCATTGTTGCCTCCTCATTTGTTTTTCCCCTACCATCCCTTCCTTCCCACCTCCACAATTACTTCCTCCCCTACCCCCCCCCATGAGACTCTTATCTCCAATAAACCACCAGAAGTGGCACTGACTCAAGTGGTAGAGCTGAAGAGCTGAGGGACAGTACCCAGGCCTAGAGTTCAAGCCCCACGACCGACCAAAAAAAGAAAAAAAAGAAAAGCAAATAACATGGCTGGGAATGTGGCTTAGTGGCAGAGTGCTTGCCTAGCATGAATGAGTTCAATTCCTCAGTACCACATAAACAGAAAATGCCAGAAGTGGTGCTGT